GCTACATTTGAGTTGAGCATAGCATAGTATAAACTTGTTGAATCACTATGCTGGACACTTGAAACTAATGTAACACTGCACATGAACTATACTAAAAAAACAATTAAAATTAGACTTGCTTATATTGTTACTGTGTATATAAACATCTATACAGAAAAAAATTTTAATTCTAGTCCAACAATAATTTAGGAAACAAAATTTCAGAAAAGATAATTTGTACCCCCAAAACAAACAAAAGGTATTAGTTTGTAGGGCACCTTGAATCAATGCAAGGTAAATTATTTTATTTTTATATCTTCCTACCTCCTTCAAATCTCAATAAACTCATGCTGCTGCCTTCTTATATTTAATGATACATATTAGCTGGGTCTACATTCTCAAAAACTGTTCCAATATTCAAAGGACCCCTTCTTTAACCAACTGATATTCCCTTCTCTGGGACTGACTGGTCTCACCTAAGTAACAGGAGGCAGTGTGTTACAGCCTCACTGCGCTAAGTATAAAAGCACAATATTTCACATTTAGTAAGTAGGTACTCAGGTATTCAAGTGAATGACAGATAAAAGTTTTAACATCCATAGGAATATTTGGATTTTATGCTTCTCTTAAAAATTTAAGTGAATTTCTCATGGGTAAAGTATGTGGCAGAAGTACATTTAAACCTGAAAGATTTCCATGAGCCCTTTACACGCGCAGCCATGCGCCTCCATCACAGAGAAGCAGTCCTCAGGTGCTCTTCCCCTCATAAAAAGAATTCTACAGCCTAAGATGGGATTGTCTACTTGCCATCTTATTTTCATAGCAATTAGGTTATTTTTGCTGGTTCTTGACTTTTTGCTGTACTAATGACTGCTTAATGACGTATAAAAATTTTTTCCACACGGGCGCTTGGGTGGCTCAGTCGTTAAGCGTCTGCTTCGGCTCAGGTCATGATCCCAGGGTCCTGGGATCGAGTCCCCCATTGGGCTCCCTACCCGGCAGGGAGTCTGCTTCTCCCTCTCCCACTCCCTCTGCTTGTGTTCCTGCTCTCGCTATCTCTCTGTCAAATAAATAAAATCTTAAAAAAAAAAAAAAAGAATTTTTTCCACACAACACCAAAGCAAATCCTCCAAAGAAATTCTTTTCTGTTAATTCTATTTTCTTATAAATTTTAGTCTTCTTTCATATGATTGCTTTAGTATTTCTTCCAAATAACTCATACATTTAAATGTTATTCTTGTCCAAAAAAAAGTCTGCTTTCAATACCTTTGTAACATTTTAACATTTAAAATGAAGTAACTCACAATGTAGGTGTTCTTAAATCTTCTATTAAGCTTAAAAAGGTATCTATTTTAATTCTTTGATTTTTATATGAAAAATTATTTTAATTATGACTATAGTAGCATCTAGTATTCAATAAACATATTAAACAAGTTCTTACGGTAAGTATATATATAAAACATTTTCCACCCAACATTCACCTGACTCAAAACCAGTCAGGGCACAGACCTCTACAACACTAATAATGTGGTGCTTCAATTAGCAACTCCCAACTAGTCCTCTCCTCTTGAGCAGCAGTGAATGGTGTTTAAGTGAGTCAGTGAGATCACTTAGCAAAGCAAGCAAGTGCGTGTGTGGGTGTGTTTGTGTACACATGAATTATACTTTTTAATTTAAAATGCTTTAGTCTTTTAATGAATTAGTAAAATTAATCTGAGTATTCACGATGCTATAGAACTAGGGAAGTCTTAATAATGCTGCAAAGAGTAGAGTTGGTAATGATTGATGTAGCTATTTAAAACTGGTTTATAAAAAGTGAGTCAATGGCATAAAAAAATAATTTGGTACCTACTGAAAATGTTTCTTAGAAAAAAATGAATCACTTAGCAAGGAAATCCAGTTTGAAATTAGGCAGATTAGGGGCACCTGGGTGGCTCAGTCGGTTAAGCATCTGCCTTTGGCTCAGGTCATGATCCCAAAGTCCTGGGAAAAAGCCCCACATCGGGCTCCCTGCTCAGTGGGGAGTCTGCTTCTTCCTCCCTCTCTCCCTCTGAGTTCTCTCTCTCTCAAATAAATAAGTAAAATATTTTAAAAAATGAAATTAGGCAGACTAAAGAAATTTTACATTCCCCTTGTGAACTTTTGGAACAGTACATAATTTATATGAGAATATTTGAGAAGTCCTAAAATAGTATGTAAAAATCAATAATGTATTTTCACTTGAAGGAATAATGTAAAATATTTTATAGTACAGAATTCTTTACTCTGTATATTTGGACATTAAAAAACTTAATGAAGTCTTAGCTCTTTATTTCAATTTAGTGCAACAATTTAGGATGGATATATACATATGTGTACATATAGAGGCAAAACACACACACATATATACACATATATATGTTATATATACATATAACATATATAATGAGACTGAGATGCTATGATGGCCTCACAATTTCAATAGGTTTTATATCTAAGATCCCTCTGTGTATTAGTAGCTGAACAGGAACTAGGTCTTAGATTTTCTGCTTCATGTCTAAGTATTCTTTCCATGGTCCTGGTCTTCCTAGGGCCTAAAGAGAGTGTTGGCATAATTCTTTTAGGCTACCATGACACTATTACTAGCAAGTGCTAGATAGCTAGTAAGTTTTCAATAGACACCTACTGATTGATCCTATTCAAACTCATTGTGGTCAAGGGAAACTACACTTCTGGTATTCAAAGAATTTTCTCTCAGCATCTTACAATGAAAGAAATACTTCCACATTACAAACAAAAACAACTAGGTTATGAAGTACTTTAGATTTAATTCAAATATTTAATCTGAAAACAATTCATTAGAGCACTTGCTTGCACTTATTATGATAAATAAATTGAATTAATCCATTTATATTTATAAATAAAATCCCATTTTACATATGCAGACTTGAAAATGTCATAGTAAATTTTACCCTGAAATTGTTTTTCAACAAGAATTACTTAGCAAAAATTATTTAACTCTTACAAACATTTTTTCTAGGATATCAAACTAAAAGATATAGTAAAAATCTATGTAAAATATATTTTTTATGAATTTAAAAAATAGTTTCACAAATTATATTTAGAAGTAGTAATGTAATATAGGACTATTTTATGGCAGAAAATTTGTTTTCTAATATAAGCAAAGTAACAAGTTGTGCTACATATGATTGAGTTTACAAATGTTACAAATATATTGTAGACCTATTATAGGAAGAAATCCTTTGTTTAGATTTCTGCAGGAAAAAAAATACTTAATATCAACATAGTCATTTCCTTCCCAAACTTACTCTAATCTGGTTTGGGCTTATCTCCCATGGGGTAAATAGGTCTTTGCTACTTCCTTTCTTAGACAAGAAGGATCAGTTCCATGATGCTTGGAATGGACTGAGTTTTGGGTTAAATGCTGAGATAACCTTGGCCCTGGAGTTGGCACTCTATGCAGGCCTTTGGGTGATTGCTGTATTGCTGCTAAAGAGAGCCCAAAACTTGGGTGAGAATTTCACTGAGATTTTGTTTAGCAGTAAAAAAGATAAAAGTTCTTTGTAGTGCAATACCTATATATTTAAAGCAACATTTTGAAATTACTTCAGTTGGGCCCAACTTCGTGACTTAGGCAAGACATTTTGACATGAGGAAATTATTTCTTTATTGTTATTGTTGTTGTTGTTGTTAACTACAACATATGGGGTCTTAAGCACTTCCTATGGGCCACTGTTCTAGACATTTTATACACATCAAATAATTTTTCTATGAGATATGTACTCTTATTATCCCCATTTTATGGATGAGGAAACTGAAGATCAGAGGAGTTATACAACTTTAAATTGCAAAGCTTGTAAGTGTCAGAGTTATTACTCAAACCCAACCAGTCTGACTCTAGAAGGCAACTCCTTAACTACTACAACTTTGCAATTTTTCATGTAAAACTGCTTAATAATTTTATTAAATGATCTGTATAGTGTATAACATACATGAGGCATTATGAAGTTTATTCTACTTATATTCACATTTCTTGGTACTCATCTTTCCATAGTAGTTCTTGTTTTAAATAAGCCATAGAAAAACCAAGACTATTTCAGTCTCTACTAATTTCTAAGACTGACTCCCAAAGAATTTTAGTCCAATTTTTCTGTCAAAATGAATAACTTCATTTCATGAAGAAAGTAAGCTGATTAAATGATTAGCATACTAGAGATCAATTCTCAAGGTATCCTTAATAAAGGACTGCTTTGTTTTTATAACGTCACAAGCCACTAAACTTTATTGTAACCATTTGTTTAATGTCTATCTTCCCTCACAGACTATATAATAAACTAGAGAGTCACATCAGTCTTATTCATGACTATGCCTAGGGCCATGCCTGACATAAAACTGGTTGTCAGTAAGAATTTATAGAATGAATGAATTTGCTCTTTTATCTCTTAAGTTTATTTAGTAAAGATCCCACCATAAATAGTAGCATAATATTGCTAGTGACATCTGTTTCATATAATATTTCGTATACTTATTATATGACTATATTAATTTTTAAGGTGCCACAAATTTCCTCCAAATAATCCTTATGATTTACATCAGCAAGAATTCTTTTATACATTTCTGTCATAGATTCTTAAAAGAATGGATTCTAGAAGGCACTCCATTTTATTTTCCACATTTAAAAGGTTCTTCCTTATATATTGAACTGAAAATGTTCTTTTCCTTCCAACAACTGTAAACACTAACTTTTATTAAAATTTCCCTTTCTCAAACTTCCAATTCGACACCTTCATTAATTACCATTTCTTCTGTCAGTAGTAGTGCCAAAATTCCAAACAAAAGCCATTATATTACACCATAAGCACCTAATCAGATACTGCATTGTTATATTTAAAAGTTATATAGTTAAAAACTGATAACCTCTGGTAGACCTTTGTTTGCTTAGAAACAAGGGTTATTTTTCATTCATTTCAGTAAAAGAAGTGTTATGTATCATCTTCCATCTGTGATGCTTACATATCTACCTTTTTAAAATATCTTTATGTGGCTAATGTCCAATTCTCCAGCTGACATCACAGACCAATCAAAGCGAACTGTACAGAAGCAAAAAGAGGCAAAAAAATGGAACGTCATGGGCATTGCAAGGCATGTTACCCAGCAAGGAACATTTTCCTCAAGACACTCCTGGGAGGTACAGAAAAGACATCTTTCTTCCAGCATTGATAAGCAGACCTGCCTAGGTATCTGAGCTAAGAACTTCAATCAGAGTACTGAGGCTGGTGACCTTCTTTTGAGTATATACAGAAAAACTAAATTTAGACGTCACTGTAGAGATGAAATTCAACATAATAATTTTAAGTTAAAAGTTAACAATGGACTTAATTTTGATTTTGCTGTTTGAAAAGATATCGTTTAAAGTATTTTAAATAGCTTCCATATTTTAGTAGTAAGTTAGGGAAAGATCATTTCTGTTGTAAAACTAAGCTTTTCAAATTTTAGTTGCATACTAGACTGTATGCTCTGATTCAATTTGTTTATACTATCAGGTGAATAGAAAAAACCTAGTCTTCAATGAAAGTTTTTAAAAATGTACACAGATTGAACATATAAAACAACCAATTTTATAATTCTTCAAACATCATTAGTGTCTTTCCCTTAGATGAGATTCTGTGTGTCCCGTAAAGAAAGTGTAAACATTTAGATCTCCAAATGTTCTCCCATTTTATTTTCAAAAATTTAATAAATGTGTGTTAGAATATATAAAAGAAACATAAATTTTACATTCTTTTCTTTCAAAAAGGGATAAAAGTTGACTAAGGAATCATACTGCCATTAAGAAATGTCTACATGTAACAACTCAATGATGTAAAAGGAGTGATAAATAAATCCCTGTACTAGCTTGATAATAGAATGGAACAGTTGCTAAGAGAGGACAGCAGTTATTTTATGGCTGACATTTAATTAACTTAAATTCAGCTGAAGAAATCAGGGTCCTCATTCATTGCATTCAATCCTGAAATGTTAAAGCATCCTGTAAGGATTCACTCCTGTAAGTGAAATTCTTACATAAGAATGCTACTTTGACTAAATTGTTGATGCTACTTTGTTGTAAATTCTTCAGAAATCTAATAAAACAGCATCATAAAAAATGTATTTCTCCCCAGTTAAAATTTAGTCTTTCTGCACACCTTGCTTAGAAGATACTGACTTAAATAGAATTATAAACTTTAAAAGTTAAAGAAAAACCAAGTTATCAATTCACTTTAAGACATAAATGTGTGGGTTCTGTGCTTTATTTACACACCCACCACATTGCTTCTATGCTCATAGCGACTTCTGCCTTTCCATAGTACTGGTTCCAGATGCAATTTTACATTTGTCTGTACAATTTTTTCCTACACTGTAATTACTATCTACAATGGAAGTTCAAGAGCAGTTAGAAAGTATCTCTGTTTTTAACGGTGCCATTTTATTCTCAGCACCTAGCTGGATGGATGACACATAACAATCTATAAAAATTGGAATTACAAGGTAGATGGATTGAAGGACAGATGTTGCCATCTAGAGTACTTAGTTCACTGTCAATGTTTGAATGCTTACATAATGACAGATGCTGTGCTAGGTGCTTGCCACATGTGCAATTCCTGATATGGTTATTACTAAACTCTAGAAAATAGTTAAAAACATGGTCACATTCAGTTACCACCATTTTGACATCTCTAATTGAGCAAAGAAGAAAAATTACTCAAACTATATCAATCTCAAAAATTATAAGTTTGACAAGAATAGAAATGTATTATTAATATCTGAGCTTTATCACCCATTATCTAGTTATCAGAAAGCTACTATGTCCATGAGGATACTAAAATAAGCTCTGATAAACAGCCATTTTTGATTTCAACCTTTGTAAGCTACTACTTCCACTCCTGTCCAAAGTTAACATAACTAATCACAAATCTGATAGGACACAGATGTCCAAATAAAGGGATATAAAGGAAGCAAATACAAAGAGAATAAAAATATTAGGTTTAAAGTCACTTGAAGCATGTACCTTAAATTATTTTCTCAATGCAAACCTGTGTAAGGCAGGGGAGAGATGTCTGATTTTATCACCAAAATTTGATACAGTGCTATGTTATGAATAGATATTCCACTTCATTTTAGCTATATAAACATCTAATCCTGATCATTTAATGTTTTCCACAGAGATATAGTAGCAATGATACAGTTTTAAAGACCTAATGTTAAAGTGGATTTCATTACATGACATATATTTTTTCTCCCCCCTGCTCCCTCCAGTCGTTTTACAATGGAAGTAAAAAACAAAACAGAGATCAACAGACTATTCTACTGCAAAATTATGACATTTATTTTAGTAAGAAGCCTCTAATTCAGTTTGGTATAAATTTGTTTTTTAAAAAAGTTAAGCTTTACTCAAGCAATATTTATGCTATTTTTTAAAGATAACTACAGAACTACAAAAAATGAATTCATATAACTGTATGAACTATATAACTGATTTTTCATACTTTTAATTAGTATTTTCTTATCAACATTTAGCATATAAAACCATTCTTTGCATTTATTTTATTACAAATGTTAAGTCACAGACATATAAATTCAAACATTTGTCCTAGATTTTTAAAGTTCTAAAATTTTAATTCAAATAATAAGTTGGTATGTTTTATACACACACATACACACACATATTATAATTTAAATGAAAACTCTTACCATTGATTTTCTTTTGATAGTTAATCACTCCATTAGTTTTTTCTTGATAGGGCCTTCCTATGTCAAGCAGACAGTAGCCAAATCACAAAAGGACATTTGGATGCTCACGTCTTCTGATGGGGAGTTTTCGGCCAATTTGCCAGTTGAGAATTTAAACTGAAACTAAATTACCCAAACTTTATTAAGTTGTTTCCACACCCACCAACTGGTAATGAGCAATGACTCTAACTGGAAAATAAAGTGAGTGACTTTGATTTATATCTCCTTTCAAGTAGTCATAACATTATGTTTAAGAAGAAATGCTAGGACAAAAGAAAGAAAAAACCCTCTAAAATTCTAATCTCTTCAGAGAACAGTTTTAAGTAAACTTCAATTTCTTTTAACAAAGTTCCCCCAATTATTTTGTAATCCAAATTAACACACAATAAAGATGGCATTATTCAATGATATACCTATAAATTATAGAGTCTCAAATTTAAATTCTGTCTAACATTGACTCCACCTTAAAACTAATTGTAATATTTGGAAACATTTTGATAGTATCATCTACATTCATAAAATATTTACTAAATCATCAACTACTTGTAGGAGTACATACCATAAGAAGTTAAAGGTTACACTGAAAAAACATGCTCTGCCAGCAAATATCATTCTTTGTATTGAGAAGACAAAAATCTATGGATACAAACTTCTAATTATAGTGCAAAAACAACTCAGCTCCTTTTCTGCACCAAATTTAGGCTCTCTTTCCCTCAATTATTATAGCTAATCTTCGTATAGCCTGTTGATATGTATGATTTTTGACCACTAAGCTTTATGATTGTTATGTTTTACAGTCTGTTTTGATGCTTCTCAATATTAGGCATATTAAATTGTTCCTATACATTGTTAAGATATACTGCAGAGCTCTAATCATCTCTGCCCGCTACAAAAGTTGACCCATTTCCAATAATTTTTTATCTTTGACTATTTAAGTATTTGGAAAATATACAATAGAATAAAGCTAAAAGGAAAACATGAAAGGAACGGAAAATATGTCCCTATCTTCCTGAAGTATCACATTTACCATTGATTAGAAGTTGTTGCTGAATGTCAGTAGTCTAAAATTAAGTGCACATAACTAGATAATTATGTAATACTCAGATTAGAATGGTGAACATAACATGTACCTGATTCCCATATATTCCATGTGCCCACTCTCTCCCTCTCTCTCTCGTACAAATACATGAGCACATGTATACGTGCATGTGCACACCTATCCAACCTACCCACTGACAGTCTTTCCACTACCAATAACGTGATACTAAAGTATTATATAAGAGAGTATATAAGGTGAATAATCAATTTATGGTTAAATCAAGAGAAACTGACTTCAGAACAAAGTCCAGAGCTTAACAAAAGTGCTATGTCTTTGAGTTAATCACACTGACCCCAACTTGATGTCCTAGAAAAGGCTCATTCCATTTTATCCAATAATTTTAATCCAAAATCCTCAATAGTAATAACATTTATAAACCATTCAGTGACTAACAGAATTCTTTCCTGGGTACTATGAGATACAAAGGAAAGATTAAATTCCTTTCTCAGCAAGCTTATAATCTACAACTTAACATGGGGGTGGAGGGAAGAGGAAAAACAGCTCATAAAGACATATAAATGGTTAGATTTCCAAGAAAGAAACAAGCACACTGGGGCAGCTCAAATTGTTTGAATAGGTTTGCCATATGTGGGGCTGATCTGACAAGACTTTATAACAAGGACATTTTTAAAGCAGAAAATATAAAACCATTTTATTCTTATTTAGCCTGATGAAACCCACAAAGCAAAAATTAATTACAGAATACAACTATAGACATAGTCATGTCTTTACTCTGGAAGAAGATCAAAAATCTATTCTTTAGTCAAATGAAATTACAGAACGTTGGGTATATAAAAAAAATGGGTCTTCAGTACAAGAGAAACAATTCTCAACTTGCTTATGTCACTCATCCTAATAATTCCAATGATTGTGGCAGTAATTTAATTTTTAATACAAGATACATATCCTGAAGAGTACTATCAGATTAACAAAATCATGAATCAAAAAAAGCACACAATGATTTCCTTGGTGTGAGTAACATTATCGATAATGCACCTAACACAACAAACTAGTTTCATATTCCAGCAATGATGAGCAGCAAGGGATGTGCCAATGTGTTTATGTATTTGTATAGATCTTAAATATATTCTACTAATCTACTTATAAGAGTTTTAGATTTTAACACTACCTCTAATTTTATAAACAAAGAAACAGTTCCAGTAATATGACATTATTTGTGTAAAGTCACACAGGTAGTCAGCAGCAAACTCAAGACCTCTTAAGAACAAATCCTTTTTTTTTTTTACTATAATCAAGGAAAGAAACAGTTGTATCTTAGAAACAGATATAATTTTATTAGAAAGACTTCACTTTTTAACCTCTAAACTAAGTCTCAAACATTCAAATCATCAGCCCCAGCAAATGCAAAGAACCAAGTCATAAAGTTAGGAAAATAAAGCTATATGATTAAATTAAACCCTCTTTATAAGCTTTAAGGCATACATTCAGTCTTATACCCAACTCTTACAGACTAAGAACACGGGGGGTTTGAGGAATATACACAATTGTATCAAATCTTTTTATAGAAAAGACTATTTCCTAGAATTTGCCATGACATCACTTCTATTTTTCTTTCACTGGACCCCTATTTTATTCAGTTTTTCATAGGATTGTCTAGTAATTCAAGCATGCTACACGGATAGCACTAGAAATAAAAAGCCTTATTTTGGCTGCTTCAGGTGATATAACTAATCCCAACGATATAAATGGGCAGCAAGAGAGGTTCAGAATATTTGTAAATGGGAAATATAAAAAGACATAGTCAAAACTCTGCTTAGATTTAATTGTAAGGATAAAAGTTGGCTACTAACTCACATGAGATTTCATTGTCTATCTGGTCATAACTCGTATTTCTAGAGAAACAACATGCTTTTAGTTCAATTGATCTCAAAAGTCAGAGGACTCATTAGGCAACACCTAAAACCATTCACCACTCACCAAAACTCTTTTGAACAGGCAATGATGCTAAACAAATTAATTCCACCCTACCACTACCACAACAATCACAAGTCTGTACTTAGAAACAAATCTCAATAATAAAGCTCATTTATTTCCTTTGGAAGTGAGAATCCTTGCTTTGTTACACTGAACTCACCTTAAATTTCATACATCATTCTTAAACATAAGAAAATTTTAAATCACATCTTTGATTCTCATTCAAACCCTGCCTCCAGCCCGTCCATCATCCCCCTCCCAGTCTTTTTAGGAAGTTTTTAATAGGCAATTTTGTAGAATTTAATCATATTACACATATGGGTCTTTTCAATCAAGTTGTTCATACTACTGTGAGACAGCTCCTTATATGCCTTTTTGTTTTTTCCCCTCCCATACTATCAAAACTCAATGGTACTAGATGTACATTTAGGGCACTTATTAAGTGCATGATATCCTTACAATCTGACCTGTAAATGGATTAACTAAAAGCTATGGACAATTATAAAATTTCATAACAAAAAATATGTGATTTGTTAGAGCACCCAGGCCATACTGTTCAGGTTATTGAAGCTTGCTGCAATAGGGTGCCTCACTGATGTGGCACTAGTAAATACAAAATGGCCTTGAGAACTCTATGGGGTTTTTAACTGGTCTACATGGTTTCTAGGTTAACATCTACCTTTGCACTAAAGAAACAGCACTCATTAGTTTATGAACTCTTTGAAGATACCAGCAAAATATTTCAATATAATTAGTCCTAATTGGATGGAAAAAAAAAGGTTTCCTACATTTTATTAAAAAACATTTTTCTTGCTTCTGAATTTGTATTTCAGTCTTCAAAAATATTCCACCTCATTTTATTCATACGATCAACCAAATTAATCAACAATATCTCATTTATTTCTGATTAAAAAGATATTAAAAGCTACCATATTTTAGGGATACTGACTCATTAATCATTAGAGTATCAGACTAAAATGGGCAAGTATCATTTCCAAAGTAAGTGGGTCACTTACTTTAAAACATCAGGAAAGGGAACTAGCATTTGTTAAAGTATCTCCTACACTAGATTATTTTTAATCCTCACAACCCTGAGAGATTGGTATACCCATTTCATAGCTGTGAACTTAGCCTAAGATTCTGGCACTATTAAATGATCCTTTTAAATCCCCATCATTGTTTGTCTAGCTCCAAAATCTAAGCCCAACCTTCTTACAATAACTATCTGGAACGCATGCCAAGTACCATGCTTTTTGGAAAAAGGGAGTGGGAGCTGGGTATAAGGGAGCGGGCTCATGAAACAGAGGGGAGGCACCAAGCGAAATAAAAGTAAACATCATGAAGTCCAAGTACTTCCCTCACTGAAGTGCTCTTCAAGCCTATTAAGAACCTTCTTTCTCTTACTTAATTCACAAATACCCTTCTCTGCATGCTAGTAGCCATATGAATTAATATCAAGCTTTGAAAAATAGAAACACCATTTAACAAAACTCAAAAGAACAACAGTTATTGAGAACTGTTTACTGTTAAAGACAAATGGCCCTATGACATACCTTAGTTGCCCCTGAAGACACTGTGTTAACAAATACCCCTCAACAATCCAGTCATTAAAATATATTAGTCTAAGATACTTTACAATAAGACTGGTTCAGATGAAATGTTTTAGCAATCAAAGAAGGTAAGCATCTATATTATCTGGAAAATATACGAATTGAATATCTAATTATAACAAACTTACTTTATCTAGAAACCTTCAAGAAGTATACATGCTATCGTTTTATATTTTCAAAATAGGATACAGCAGTGTGAAATTAAGCATTATTAATTTAGAGGAAAAAGTATTAAAAATCCCAAAAGGTATAAAGTTCTTAATTTAAGCAAAACTATGGGCCCTGCATTAACACAAACTACCATAAACTACACTCCTTTCAAAGTTAAAAATACTTCAAAATAGACTTTTACAGCTTTTACTACTTCAAAAATGCAGGTGAAATATTTGTTGTTCCGATATATTTTCCCTCTCTCTTCCCTTATCTCTGGTACCATAACACTTAAGACTTCTCATTTTAACTTGAAGAAAGATGCTATCCCATCTAGTATGAGAAGTGGAACAAATTTACATTTACAATTTTCACAGGGTCTTTAGGAGTTTTGATGCTCTCAATACCTGACTGCATACAGGTTGAATCTTTAAGAAATATTATAGCTCCTGTGCTCAAACACAGTTTCTCTAGCATCTTAAACAAGGTCTCACACCATCATTAGCACTGCAGTAGGTCACTTAACATGCGTGACCCTCTGCACAGTCACAATTCTAAAACATCGCAGTCAAGAGCACAGCTGTTTATTTGTTCCATTACCTTGATTCAGGGGGGAAAAAGCCAAAAGAGGACCAGTTCCATACAAAGAACTAATATAGTATCCTACGAAACAAAGTTTAGTTGAAAGGGAACCAAATAACAGAAAGTCAGGCCTGGTCAAACAGAGGAACTAAAGCTGGCAACTGAGGAGCATAAACCATTTTGGCCTAGATTTGTTTGTAATGACAGTGTGACCCAGATACTAAATATTTGGCTAATATTTAGAAATCTGAAAACTGAAAGAAATGAAATACATGGTCAGCTGATTAAACATTTTAGTAAAAAAAGGTATTTTAGTCAAAATGATAGGTGCTTAAAATATATAATTAGCATTTTCTACACAAAGATTTTTAAAACTTTAAAAATATCTTTGTTTTGTAAATAATCTCATAAATTATATTTCACCTTTATAATCAGCTAATAAGGATGAGACGATCTATTACAGAGATCATGGTATAAAAATCTTTTGAAGAACAGAAGAATATACATTTTTTCAAAGTAAAGCTTATTTAAGAAACTGTATTTATCTAAACTAAGTTTGTTCCATTCGTGGCCCCACAGTTTATTCTACAGAATTGTCTATTAAGTGTCAAGAAAATTTTTGAAAAAAAAGTCCTCAGTAGCTTAAAAGTTTTGTTAATGAGGGTGCTGGAACAGGAGACAGAACACACTCACCACCGACCCACCTCATTTTGCCCGGTGTTGATAGGGAAAGATGGTGGTGCTTCACCGGGGTGCTTCAGAAATTCCAGATAACACACACTTCTTAAGGCACCTGTAGTGGACCATGCTGATAGCTTATCCAGCCTTCCCTTGCGTCCTCCTTCCTAATGATCTATGATTTGATTCAGCATCCAAGTCTCTCCTAGTAGTTCAGTGCGCCTCAGGGAAAGCTGACTGACCCTGAGCTAAGAGCCTAGACTGCAATGAGTCTAATCCATTATTATGGTAAGCCCGTTCCCCCTTGCCAATGATTAGTTTAGGTGTTTTAGAATTAGACAAATTCAGGTCAATGAGAAGCAAGCATGGGGTGAAGGTAAAGGGTAACTGTTTAGGGGTAAGAAAAAAAAGCTATATTGCCCTTGAAAGTGAAGTTATCGTCTGTGGATCTGAAAGAAGAAACACATAATCCTGACTGCAATTGGCAGCTGTAGCTACAGCACTGGGAAAAAGGCAGTACTGTGTAGAAAAAGTAGAACAGAAAGACAAATTGAGTCCTTGAAGAAATCACAGAGCCGCTGGCTTAACTAACAATGTATGTCTTACTTAAGGTGCTTTCTTACATGAGGCAATTAATATTCTTTTTATTTAAGCCCAAATCAGATGAATTTGGAAACTAATTAGCTTTTAGAAAACTAATAAGTGCCAAGTTCTAAATAATTTCAGGAAATTATAAAATCTATTCTTACCTATTCCTGGCTTTTAAAGAAAAGTGCTATACATTAATTTTCTGTACTTTCCTAATTGCCTACAATGATCATGTATTGTATATGTTATTGGGATGGCAGTATCTAAAACACCAAAGTGTACCAAACAATTGGGCCACTTTCTGATCTCTAATATGAAAGTCAAATTATGCTTTTAATACAGTAATGCTTTTATGGGTCCATGATCTACTCAGATTGCTATAGTCTGATTTGTCTCTGATGTCACATATCTCTTATTTTTGCTGTAATTTACTTTTAACTCTTTAAGAGAGAACCACTAGGCTTTCCTCTATTTCATTGGCTCCCTATACTCTATACACTCCCATTCCACTCTTGAGTTCCCAGTTATGCATATTCAGATAGTTGAAGTTGTTAGAAATACATTCTGAAGCATATAAAATTATTCTGGGGACAGAGAATTTCTCTTTGAACTTAGCTTAAACTAAAATTACCACCTAATTAGTTTTGTACCTCTTATAAAAAGTATCTCATCTCCTCTTTCCTTTCTTCCCTTTCTTCTTTCCTTCCTTATTTTGACATTTACTTTGCCTAGGAATAATTTGATCTTTTACCTATATATAGAAGACCTCCACAAAGCAGAGGAATTAAAACAGAGACCTGTGGACCAAATATATTCCACAGGCATATTTTGCATGGTAGTGCTAGAGTATTTTTAAAACATCTGAATTAGTTACCAACTAATTCACATAAAGATATGTATTTTAGGATCTTGCTGAAAAGCTGAAAAACTGAAAAACTTGGCAACAATCACCGTGAACACTTACATGGCCACAATCAAGTGGAATAGAATACTAGCTGTCCGCTGCTCCACTAAGATGAGCACAAACTTTCTAGAAGTCCAGTCTCCATATATTTCCTTAAATGGCCCATTTCTTCATAGTCAAAAGTCCTTTTAAGTATTTGCTTACGCTACCCCTGATACAACAGCTAATAACAGCCAGAAGTACACAAAAGAAATTGTTAGCTAAGAAAATAAAGCATAAGTTTATAAGGCATTCAGGGAAATATGATTCTAAAACTTTCTCTCCTTAAATCTTCTAATTTAACTAGGAGTCTATTTCTAAAACCAGTGATCCAGCAATAACTTTTTAATCATAATAAAGAAAAAAGTGTTTCTTAATAGAATGTTATTTGAAACAGAATGCTTTAAATTCCTCATCTGAGTTTCAACCAATCAACCAAGAATAGGAGAATCCTAAATATACAGTCAACTTTCAAATCTGATACTGATTAAAGAATGGTATAAACAAAATAACATGCTTTATATGTGTACACACCATGTATATACAAAATTACTTATACGCTTTACCATATAAATTAAGATGTCAAATTCTCTTTTGAAACTAAGCTCTTCCTATACTATTTAATGGAATTAAATAACCAACAGGAATTAGCTCAACTCACAAATTATTTAAGGAATAATGCTTTCTAAATTATATGATATAGTCACTTCCTAACATTAAGCACCAAGTTATTGAAAGGATTTTAGAGGAGATCTTGCAATCAAACTCTATAGATGAAACAATAATAATACTGACTTTGTATCTCTGTCAAATCCCTAGGCTTTATCTATCTCAAAAATTTCAAATCTATCACCTTCTCTCCAACTCAACTGCTGTATCCATCATCTCCAACCTCATGTGCAGAAATAGCTTGTAACAACAGGCTTCTACATTCACTGCAGTCAGATTCATATTTTTCGAATGAAAATTTAATCACGTTATGCCTCTGCTTAAGACCTTTTCAAGGCTTCCCAATAGCCTTTAGGATAAAGGCTAAAATCCTGAACAAGATCACATCATCTCTTTCCTGCATTCTTTTCCATCTTTATTCCTCCTTCTCAATGCTCAGCTAACACTGGGATCCTTTCAGTTCTTTTGCTTTTGCAGACACTATTTCTGCTACCTGCAATGCTCTTTGACTCATGCTGATTCTTCACATCTCAGCCGAAAAGTTACTTCTCTTGTCCTTGCCTGACTTGACCATCAACACTGCCCCCATTCCAGGCAGTTCGGTTTGCCTATGATGTACTCTCATCTCACCCTATAAATTCTCTTTTGACATTCATGTAGTTGTAATTATTTGTTTACTTTCAGTCTTTTCCAAAGCTTTTGGTTTCGTGAGCACACAGATCTTAATTGTTTTATTTACTGTCTCACAATATAATTTAACACAATGACTGGCATACAAAAAATAGCATTTAATAAATATTTGTTGAATAATGAATCTCTTGAAATTGAAGTTAATTGATAACTATTGTTGAAGAGGCAGCATAGTACAGTAGACAGTACACTTATCTGGAAGTACTGAAGATCTGTCCCAGATCTACTACTTATTATGTGACTTTAAGTCTCAAACACTCAGATTCTTTACCTTAATAACACTATCCAACACCTGCTCTGTCTTCCTTATGTAGGTGTTGGGAGGGGAAAAAAAAAAGAAATAGTCTATTTTCTCAACTCTAAAATATGTATTTTTCCACTTCAACTTTTTTCAGATCAAGAGGAGCCTTAGAGTAGATATCAGAAGAACTCTGTCAGTCATTACACATGTTATAATACCTTGTCACTGTCTATCCGATTGTGAACTTAGACATGACCAAGAATATACCTTTTATCTGTCACCTCAGTTATCTGCATTGACAGAACCATATAGTGTTTTTATTTTTTAAGAATTTATTTATTTGGGCGCCTGGGTGGCTCAGTTGGTTAAGCGACTGCCTTCAGCTCAGGTCATGATCCTGGAGTCCCGGGATCGAGTCCCGCATCGGGCTCCCTGCTCGGCAGGGAGTCTGCTTTTCCCTCTGACCCTCCTCCCTCTCATGCTCTCTGTCTCTCATTCTCTCTGTCTCAAATAAATAAAATCTTAAAAAAAAAAGAATTTATTTATTTATTTGACAGCGAGAGACACAGCAAGAGAGGGAACACAAGCAGGGGCAGTGGGAGAGGGAGAAGCAGGCTTCCCGCAGAGCAGGGAGCCCGATGTGGGGCTCGATCCCAGTACCCTGAGACGATGACCTGAGCTGAAGGCAGATGCTTAATGGCTGAGCCACCCAGGTGCCCCATACAGTTGAATTTTAACCTAATGTTAAATTATTCTGGATGACTTTCAGGAGAAGTTACTTAATTTCTAGTAATAGGTAATATAATTAGTAAAAAAAACAAAACCCAAAAAACCCCACAAAGCTACAAGTTTAAATAGGAAATGGAAACCAAGCCAAAGTAATTGCTAGATGTGCCTCAGAAGTATGCTATCAATCCTAAAGGTGTTAGGGGTCAAGAGTAGCATGTGGCTATATTGCCTGTAGCTAAAAGTAATTCAGAATAATCCCTAGATACAATGCTCCTCTGTCCCCTAAGAAAAGTATTTCATTTTTCCAAAAACAGAGGAAAAAGTTATTAAATCAAAGGATGTGCCTTACAATTGCTGATTTCTTTGAATTAAGCAAATACAGTAATATGCATGAACATGTTCTGCAAATTAAGTGCTACACAAATAGGTAGTTTTAAAGGTGTCCATTGTGTGTTGTATACAAAAGATAATGCTTTACATAAAACTTAAAAGCTTCTCCAAAAATTACTTATAAAGTCAGGGCTTAAAAATAAGATGAAACAAGATTCTAATGTTACTAATTTTTTAGACGAAATGAAACATTCCCCCTTTTAGTAGATAGACTTGACAAAACTGACTCCACTTCTTTTGTCCTGTTCTCACTTTCAGCACTTCCCACATAATCCATAACACCGTTATATGTCCAATTCTTTCAAATATTCTCCTTGGAATTCTATTTTAATATCTAATCATTACTACTGTCTAAAAATTCTTCCTTTATCTCCATTCTTTCAATTGTCTGTTATATTTAATGTGATATTTTATTTGTGTCTTTGTAGATATTGTTTAAAGCCAAATCAATATCCTCCTCAACCCGACCTTTAAGAGCAAAACAGGACACGGGCTTTCACTTATTTTTATACAAGCAGTACTAGTTTTCTAGGACTTGCTCACCTGGTGATCAAAACTATGTACTGACAATATGACAGGTTGGTGGCACTGGTGACTAACAACAGCTGACTCAAACAGAATCAAACCTTTAACAATTAGTACCAAGAACAATTCTTTGCTCTCTTGAGCAAAGAAAGTATAGTATCTCTATGCCCTTCTTATAAATGACCACTGGAAAATTATATATCTCTTCAGACTTCTTTCTCTGATTCAGTTTGTTAATCTCTATGCAAAGGACTTATTATACATTAGGTCATAAACAAATTCTGGAAGATGACCTAAAAAGGCAGCTTAGGAAGAGTCACAAGACTTACCTGCAAAATTGAAGGCAGAATAGAATGTAGAACTACAGCAAATAAGGACACCCAATTTGTTTAAACTTTTCTACCAACCAGCAGTTCATTATGCTAGAAATAGCCCATTTGGACAGTTTATAAAGAACTTTGCATGAAATAGATAGAAGATCTATATATTATATGATCATTATAAACTTTATTCAGAGTGCAACTATCAATATGCCTTGATAAGACTGGTTAAGACTTTAGATAAATTATGACTTGTCATTAAAAACATACTTTTAGGTACTATCATCACAAATATATATATATTAATTAAATATGAAGGACATGGGAAAAGGGTGGGAGAGGAATAACTAAATTTCCAGCTCCATGCTGCGTACTTCCAAACAAATCATCTCATTTAACTGCTAAATTATCATGTGATGTTAACATAACTATGTACAGCTGTGAAAATAGTGAATTCTAGTATAAAGTCAGCTTACAATCCTATGTGCCTGACTATACCAGTTTGTGAAATGTGGTAATGCAAACAGCCAAATTCAGAAAAAAAATTCTATTCCCCTGTGATAGATTTTGTTTCCAAAGTTGGCTACAACAATATATCCCATCCCATTTGCTCTTATTCCCCCACCAAGAAATAAAACCTATTGCCCCTCCCCTTGATCTGGGCTAGTCTTGTGACCTATTTTGACCAACTGAATGGGCAGAAGTGATTCTGGGAAACTCCAGAATCTCAGCCTTAGAAGAGCTACACAGCTTCTGTCTTTACCTTTTAGAACATTCTTTCTTGGAATCCAGCTATCTTACTGTGAGGGAGCCCAATTAACATCACAGAGAAGCACCCTTAAGGAGAACTAAGGACCAGGGACCAGCAACCAGCATCCATTGCCAGTCATGTGAGGGGGCCATTTGAGACTACCCTGCCTTCCTAGCACCACAACAAAGACCATACAAGGCAGAAGATTCACCCAGTCAACGCTTAAAATGATAAATAATAAATTACTGGTGTTCAAGCCACTAAACCTTGGGGTGGTTTGTTATGCAGCAATTGATATGTGAAATACTATTCTCCTTAGAAATATATTTCAACAATACCAGTGTCAGCACTTAGATGGCAAATTAAAACCAAAAATATTTGGTTTCTGTGACTAATGAAATAGAATTCTGAAAAACAATGGTAAAGCCTAAGTTTTAAGAATTACTAAGGGTTACACTTAGTTTAAATTAAAAAAAAATGTGGTTTAGTGCTTAAAATCATAATGTGTCATAAAATCACAAGGACTATTTATGGATAAAGTTAACATTGAATCACTAAGTCTTAAAATAAGAAAATAAGAAGGCATCACTTTAAGTTAAAGAAAAGAAAGGCAAATAGGCAACAGAGAAGACTTTGGTTATATCAAAATAGATAATCCAGATCAGATTTATTAGCCTAAGTATTATAGATTACCATCACATGAAGAACAGGATACAATAAAATATGCAGCACTGAATTATGCTAAACATAATATTTTATCTTATTCAGAAACTTCTTCAAAGAAGAACTAAAGTATTAACAAACTGGAGAAGCCATAAAATATCAAATATTCATAAATATTTCCAGTGGATAGAAGTCTTCACTGTCTTACACTAAATTTCTATTATATAAAAGGATTGTTATACCATGAAATATGCCGAATACAGACAAATTTCAAGAAATACTTTTAGATATCTCTTAAGGATATCAGATGCTAATTTATTACAAAAAATAAGAATGTAGTTGATTTATGAAAAATACCCATCATCTTCAGTGGTGTCATTATCAAAGAGATTATTAGGATAGACAACTGCTTTGATCCAATATGACACTGAGTCTCTTGTGATTTAAACAGCAGAGACAAAATAATCTGGCATAATTCCTACATTGGTGCTATAATAAAAAGTGAAAAATGGAATTTCACATAAATATTTAATATAATCTTATCATCCTTGGAAAATAAAGAATTCTAAAATATCATGTGAAGAATTTAAAAAATCTCACGTTTTACCAGACTTACTCCATGTCATTTAATCTAGTAAAAAGGTTTCTGAAAAACTAGAAGAAATTCAGTGATGTACTCAATTTTAAAACTCAATTTGATTTTGAGGCAGACACTATGACTATATCCAAAAAGAAACATGTCTTTTGCTAAAAGAAACTCCCAAGGCAACTTTACCATAAGGGTAAGGTCTAATGATTTATAACTACTATGTATCTTTTCAGTTGCTACTAGAGAATATACATTTAAAACACATTCTTCATTTTCTTAGGTTGACCCCAGATATTCAGCTAACACTAGGGCTGCAACGATGCCGAAGCCCTTGCACATTCACACAGTTACTCTTTGGCTGCAAAGGATCCTTTTAAAAGAGAGAAAGTGAATATAATGGGGGAGAAAAGAACTGGGGAAGAAGAAAAAGCCGCTTTTCTGCCATATGAATTATTTATTCAGTCAGGCAATGAACTCACTATTTCTAATTCTAACAATCTATCAGGGAACTGTAAAGAGTGAACTCAAAGACTAATAAGGTTTAAAAACTATCACTATTTAGCAAACTTGATTTTTTCTAATTAAAAACATTTTAACTTTATAAGTTATGTTTTTACAGAATAATTTATATTTCTAATTTATAAGTTTTATAAATCAGACGAGAAGTGTCAATTTTTTTAAAACAGACAAAAAATCAGTTAACTTTCATCACAAGATATTAGGAATTAAACTATTTTTGTTATTTTCAATTTAGGGAAGCTAATTACAAAAATTCTCATCTATCAACATTTTTATTATTACTACTATTCATGTTTGCTTAATAATTAAGTATCTGAAACTGTTTCAAGGAAACCTTTCTCTGCTGGTGATAATGTCATTGAGATCTGTTTTACAGAAATCTCTGGAAGGTAGTCTGGTTCTTGATAAGGATAGCCAAGCTAGAGTTGGATTTCCCTCACAACCATTAATGATGTTTAGTTGCCTAAATTATTAATAGAGATTAAGTCTTTGACTAAAGGCAGAGATAAAGTACTTGCTTCCTGAAAGGAGAAATAATCAGGTTTAATCTATACCTGTCACCTTTTCCTATATATTTGAGATGACGCAGAATTTTTGCCCCCCTTTCTCATCACAAAACAATTTAGTCTGGAAATATGAAAATATTTTGCCTTTTGTGTTAATATCTGAATCTTTAACAACCTCCCTCTCTTTTTTTGGCTTGGATTAAGGCATTTTGTTACCTATAACCCACATAGAACACAACTTCTTTTGAAAACTTACATACACATCTCCTTATACTTTCATTCTCTATTTAAAATCGTTTGAAAATCCCTAAGTCTCAACAGAAGTGTCTATAATTTGACTGGACTGTATTCTTCTTCAGATAAAATACCTGAATAGTAAACCAAATGTCTTGTCATTTGGCCTAGCTCCCTCCCTGGTCCAGGTACATCTGATTCACCCTGCT